ATATATATATATATATATATATATATATATATATATATATATATATATATATATATATATATGTATATATCTCAAAGAGCATGAAATATATATACATATGAAATATATGCGTATATGTATATACATATATTTGTACTTGAAAAATGTAAAGGTTTGCCATAAAATTTTCACGAATATCTCTTGATTTTTATCATTATACAAAACATTGTGCAGAATCTTTTTCTCTGAAAGAAAATGCGTGTAATATAGATTGATAGGTACAATATAAATACAATAAATTACAACAGATATTTTATTTGTGTTAACTGCTTATAAAGAATGTAATTTTTCCATCACATGTTAGGAGTTATTGGCGGTTTTAACAATTCGAGTAAAGTGCACATTTACCGAGAAATAGCGAAATAAATTTCTTGTTCTGCTGTTCTCTCATGTAAGTTACATCTTCAGGCATTATTAATTTGGTAACATATAAAGTCGAGGATACGTAACCGCGTTGACATTGCAACGGTACATTGTTAAATTTCCAAGGTCCGCATATATCGTCGTAACTCACACTGCTTTCGAATCCAAGCTCAGAGCGTATTTGTCTGAATAAAATCGCTTTATCATCCGGTATTGTGCACTCAGATAGAAAGCTGCGTTTTATATCTATTATCGCATTCGTTTTATCAGACTTGTTAAATACGTCGCTCATTTCTATACTGTACTTGGACATTTCGTAATGTGGTTAAACAGATAACGCTACGTAACATGTTTACTGAATACAGAAGTATATTAATTAAAATTTAATATACATATATATATACATACATACCAAGTGAATATATAAGTGGACGACGTATCGACAAAATAGTTAATATCTTTTCAAAGCTTATTAGTACTTTACATAAACGGAGATATAAACGCATACACATTTAATATATGTAAAGCAATAAACTATTAAATTTGTACAAGTGAACCATCTTCCTATAGATAAAACTCTGGTAGAATAAATAGGCAATTATAAAGAGCCATCTCAATATTCACAAGTTTATTCTTTTTTGCTGTGTAATCATTTATAATTCATTATGAGTTGTCAATAAAATTAATATACAATATATTTTAGAGCAAGAAATATTATACGTGTTACAAACTAAGAAAGGAAATACATAGTAATAGCAGCAGGAATAGCCTCTCCTATCTTACAAGATCTTTGCGTGCCAAAAATTCATTAGATGTTGCATATTTTAGACGTACTGTTATTATCAATATTTATAGTATAATATATTAATGGTATTATTAATTATTATTAATATTATTATTTATTATCATTAGAGCACATTACTTATTACATAAATCATATTTACCTATATGATTTATAATATATAATGTGTATTTATATATATATATTTTTTTTATTTATATATTTATAACGAACACCGCCCACATTACACTACTCGAATTACAAATGGGAGCTTTTTGTTTCTTTTACCACTTCTTAAAGATTTGATACTCAAAATAGATGATATATCGTTGATTACATTGAGACGCAGGCTTTTAGTCAATCACTCAAGCAAATATTTGCGAATGTCCCATGCACAGTTCACTTCCCATTCTGTATAGTGTTTTTCCCTTCAGGAGTGTGCATCTTCCTCCCAAATTCATTGTAGCACACTTATGGTGTACCTATTTTTGTAGATTATAGTACATATCTGTAATCAGAAATAGATAGTGCGTCTACTGCAGTATTACTCTAAATATGCATGAAGACAGATTTACGTAATGTAACTATAAGTAATACATCAATACAAGTTTCCCATATCAGCAGTATAAAATTCCATCGATAAGTTATGTCGCAATACAAATTCTCGTGAACAACACGCACAAATAATGCATGTGTACTATTTACAATTCACTTGAAACTTACCTAATTTAATCAGGAAATCTCTGAAAAATAACTGATTTCTCAACAGAAAAATAAAATAGTTTTTATGAGCAAACAAATGTATATTTTAGCTAAAATGTTGTTGTTATAGCTCAACATGTAATGCAAATGTGCCATTTATCAACATATACATAAAAGATAGTTTCTTCCGTTACGTGTATATGTGTAACGACGATAAAGAAAAATAAGTCAGAATGTACAATTCTATTGTGTACTGTATTACAATTTTTGTTTAGTATCTACAATGCACAAGATATAACTACTATAAAACATTTTATTCGCTTGGCAAATGTTAAAAACTTTTCTATACAGAAATATAGGATTTATATAATTTTTAACAGAATATATCATTTTGTATGGAAATAAGATTAAATATATATATACAGGGTGTTCGGAAAGTACCGGGACGCCCGAATATCAGGAAAAATATAAGTTTTACAAAAAAATGTTTCAGACAAAAGTTGTGGCGTTTAAAAAGATGTATTTACTGATCACATCAGTTTGACCTTGGGTTGCGTAGCGAAGGTCAGGTCAAGGTCACATTAATTTTTTTAAATGGAA